TCCATAAATAATTGCCCTGGAAGAACATTAGGGACTTCCCACAACTAGGGCGAAAATGTTAGTTTGTTGATCAAAATAAAAGAGGAAAATAAGGGAAAGGAGAAGAAAGAGAGTTCATGGTAGGAAAACTAAATTGCAGAAAGAAAGCGTGATGCTGCTACGAAAGCATGAAAATGTAGAAAATGAAATAAAAACTGAAGCGTAAAACTAAACTTAAAAGAAACTAGGAAGATGAATTTTAGGGCAAAGTGCAGTAAATTGAATTGCAAAAAAAAAAACTAAATATATCGGGTGGAGATGTTCATAACGAAATAACAAAAATTAGAATTAAAACTAATGACAGCGTAGAGCTAAAGACTAAATTAGGAAAACTATTTAAGAAAACTAGATTTAAACTAAGACATTGCTTGTAAAACTAAAATGTAGATAGCATTGGGCTAGTTGTGTGAGAGGTTGGTCTCCTTTGCTTGATTTAATCATCGGGTATTTATAGTACCTTGGCAGCATGGTGGGGTTACTGCTGTTATGGAAATAACTACTCATCCTTATTCATAGAGATTTACTCCAACAACTTTCAACCAATGAAGTTCTTGCCAACATGGATGACACATGGCACCATTCTATTTTTTTTGCAAAAATGGGTGTAAACAGACTCTATCCCGTGCCTCTTGGAGATCTCTTCCCTTGGCAGTAACCCGTAGAACGGCCCCCAACAGCAATGAAATTGCCATGGGCGTCGAGAGCAGTTCCAGCATGAAATATCTGAACAGAAGGAGCAACTTGTTTGTTCTGCTTCTTCAAGGTTCTGAATAACAGAACCTTTGTCATAGGAGCCAGGGTATCCGTTGGCAGCCATTACAACCACGATGGCAGATCCCAGGGACCAATCCAATGTTACCCCTTTTAGTTCTCCTCTACAAGCTGCCGGCGGAACGTGTACCAGATCAGATTCTAACCTGAGCACCAAAACCTGTTTTTCAGACTGAGATAAGATATTGTAAGATTTGCCATCAAATAACAAATATGCATCACAAGCATAATCAGAAGCTGAATTATGTTTAAGCTTATATATTATGGGTGCATTTACCGACCTGACACTCCGGATCTCCAAAGCGCACATTGTATTCAATTAGCTTAGCTAAGCTAGTCTTCTCAATCATCAGCCCAGCATACAGAACACCGACCAACTTACATCCCTCTGCTGACAAACCTTTCACTGTAGACATAAATGCATAATTATAGATTTCATAACCACAGATTGAAGTTCTTCGGTCAAAACAGGTGCTGGAGAGTATGCTCCCATCCCACCAGTATTAGGGCCTGTATCACCGCCATCTCCAACCCGTTTATGGTCTTGAGCAGATTCGAGGGGTATGGCATTCTCTCCATCCACCAAGGCAAAGAAAGATGCTGCTTCTCCTTCACGAAATTCCTCAACAATGACACTGCATCCAGAAGAACCAAAAACACCCTCAACAAGCATTGAATCGACAGCTTCATATATGCCTCCTCCAGTGACATGGAAACAATAACACCTTTTCCAGCAGCCAAGCCATCTGCTTTGATGACAATAGGGGCCCCTTGCTCTTTAATATATTCCTTTGCAGCTGAAGGAAATGTAAATGTTTGATACTGCATCAATAATCAACGGTATTTATCCAAGTACAAAAGCACATTGAGTTGGAAACTACAGTCTGCCATCACAAAATAATTTCACATAATGCAGCAGCATTTTTTAGTAAAATTCTGCTAGTAAAGAACATAACCAATAGAAAGATAGATTGCAACATTGTCAAGGAGTCTAGTTTCTTTTACATATCACCGTATGAAAAATGAAAAATTTCTGAAATAAACATTGATTAACACTCCGATGTCTGAAAATCACATGTAAAAGGACTATTGCTTGTGCTACGAACCTCTACCAAAACATGCATCTTAAAACTTCCAAACACTGTCTTTAAAAACAAACCTTGGCAGTAGGAATATTGTATTTTTCCCACAAGCTCTTCATGAAGTTCTTTGAACTCTCTAAAGCATCAGCCTCAGCTGAAGGACCAAAAGTAGGTATTCCAGCATTTACCAAATCATTTGCAAGGCCCGAAAGAAGGGGAGCATCTGGTCCCACAACAACCAGCTCAACCCCCCATTTGCGAAAGAAGGACATCACAGCTGAGCTATCAAAAAGTATGAGTTCTGGGGGGTTGGTGGGAATTTGAAGGAGGAAGAATGAGGAGCAAAATAGAGGAGTTGGCGCCACTGGGACTGAATAGGTTTTAAGCGTTTATATATTTTATTATTTTTTGGCAAAATATAAAATTTTAAAATTCTAGAGCTGAAATTTCATAGCAAAATTTTCAGCTAAAATAAAGAGAGAAAAAGAGTTCAAAATATAAAAGACGTATAAGGAGAAAGGGAAAGAGATTTCATTAGATATACCCAAATGGTAGTAATATTTCTGATTACAAAGGACTGCAGCCTAGAATCACAAAGAGCATTTTCAAATCTTGTTTTTATATCAGAGATTCATGTTTTGTAATTTAGATTATATTGAATTGTAAAACATAAAATATTAAATGAAAGGACAAATTCTAATATTAGAAGACTCATTATTATTCAATAATTTAAATCGTGAAATCTAAATTATAAAATATTTTTTTCTATCTAGATTACAAGTACAAAAAAACCAAAAAACTACTGGAAATGAAAGATAAGTTTCTTAATATTAAGGATTGTTTTAGTATTTAATAATTTTTATTTTGTAGTACGGTACCCAAATTAGGAAACACTTACAAGCATCCCTCATAACCTTGTGCTGAAAAGCAACCTAATGCAAGTTTGCAACCGCCCAGGCTGAAGGAGGTGGCAATGCATGCCACCTAATTCCATGTGACTGGTACCGCTAGATTAAAAGTTGAAACCCGGTTAACCCCTTCCTCTCCCCTCCCAACCGGCTATCGGTTTCAAGATGATAAGTTGATAACGGATGTTAACCATCCACCACAGACCTGGTTAGTTGGCTTGGATGACAATCCACGAAGAAAGCTTTAAACGTATTACGCAAGAACTTCGGTCGCCATTAATGGGTTCTAATTTTGTTCTTGTTTTCATTCTATAATGTCAAAGGGTAAATAAAATTAACGAAGGGAGGAACATAGACCCACAAAATGGGTTTCAGCACAGGGTAAAACTACATACATTCTCATATGAATTCACCCCATATCAGGGAACAGTATAAATATACGTAAAAAAGTTGTAGCTGTTGAGTGAAAGAAACACAAAAACAAGCCCCACCGGCAATCAAAGCCTCAGGCTCCCCGGCTTGATTCATCTTGCAACAGTCCTTTTGCTCACTTTAAGCGTCAAGAAGAATGGGAAATGGGAGTTTACGTGTGCTGATAAAAGATGAAAACAGCATGCAGTGGCTGGTTGAGACAGAAGAGACTTGGAATTGTTGCTCGCTAAGTGTGCAGTGCCATGAATAAGTTCTGCTTACGAGCGTGCTGTGGGATAAGTTTGTTG